GTTTTGTTACTTTAATAGGATATACAATATATTCCTCACTATTGTGTTTCTTTTCTATTCCAAATATATTTATAGACATATTGTTTATCTGTTCAAATTTAGGTATTGACTTAAGTTTTACAGGATAGTTAATACAGTCCCAGTCATACGCTGCATTCATTTCTGCATTATCAATATAATTGCGGACTCTTTGTGGATTACGAGGTACATTTTTCGCCCATATACTATACTTGAAGCAATAATCATCCTGATTCTTTACATTTACAACAGCTTTCTTGTTTGCAATGAAAGCTGGTAAGGATATATGTTTACATCCTCTTAATGGATAGTATTTATTAATTCTTAGTTCCAGCCCTATAATACTCTTTAGACTCCATCCTGAACCTTTACCTTGGTGTTCTGATTGTTCTGTTAAAAGTTTATCAAAAGCGTTTTTACAATACGTGTTTAGATCTGTACCTAGTAGTATGGGCTCGTTTGCAGTCTTAAATGACAGTTCTTTGATTTCATCTTCTTCTCCTTCAGTTCTTGCATAGATACATTTTAAAATAATATTACATTTCAGAGTTTTCGACTTAAGAAGGTGTTCTTGAATTTTTGAAATAATCAAAGGTTTCGTGTGATATTTTAAAAAATTACCTATATCGATGTATCCTTCACCATTTGTTAAGTAATAGGTTTTAAGCCTACATTTTGCAGCAGACTCGGTCTCAATAATTGGCAAATAGCCCAATGTATTTTTTAAATGAGTGTTACTTGCAGGGTGATTGTCAGATTCTCTGTACCACGTATTACATGGTTTACAAAATTTGAGTTTAATCGTTGCAAGATAGTTTTGCATCGTTAACAGATTACAATAGAATAGTAATTTATATTTGACAATGATATGGAGTATTTCTTATTCAAATTATAAAATGTATTTTTCTATAATTGGCTAGTCCCTACGATGTATTATACTATAGTAATTGATGGTTTTTCACTATCTCTTACTATTGATGATCTTCGAGCGCAGCTCAGCCAGGCGTCTGGTTTGAGCCAACGTGAGGTCTGCCGCCGCGGAGATTATTGTCACTGCCCCAGCATACTCCCCAAACCTGGCCTGGAGCGATGTGAGCTTCACACAATACGGCAGCCGTACTCTGTATGTTTGGTCATCCCTCCGTTCAAACTTAAACAAACATGTAAAATAAAATTAATTTATAATATTTTTTAAACGTGTGTTAAAATAAATTAAGTGCTGTTATCTTCTGTACCTTATCTAGAAATATATCAAAGTTTAGTTATAGGTTTAGTCATAAGTTTAATTTATAGGTAAAAAAATAATTAATCAACCTAAACATTAATTAACAAAGAAAATAATGATGAACATGAAACGATAAATTAAAGCCTTCTTGTTCCATACAATGACAATTTAGTCTTTTGGGCAATCATTTTTGAAATAATCATAATTCAAAATGTAGATATAAAAATAGAAATTGACATTGATAATTTAATTCATAAGTATGATTATTTAATTTAGGGTATTATTACTTGCAAATAAGTTTAATATACAGTGTATTTATCAGATAGTGATATAACATATCATCACTATTGAATCTTAGGTGAATTTGGTTGAAAACATTTTAAAGATATAAAGTATAACGTTTATAAATCTAAATTTTTTTATCAATAATATTTTTATTTTTTTTCCTACCTGAACATTAGGTTGAGGGAACACTGCCTTCAAGATAATGTAGAGGTCTTCAAGACTCTCCAGGCCTGATCCCTCGACGATGGAAACGTCCCAGGTGGAGGGTGTGGTCAGCGCGTTGGAGGAAGACATGATGATAATGATTTTGTGTGCGCGAATTATATATCTATATATATACTGATAAGATATGACGTCTTTGACCTTAACCTCCACACGTGGTATTTACGTTATCAGTCGGAAGTCATTAAACACACACGCTGCAACGCTGCACTTTGTAATGGTTACGCAAATTATTATGTTTTGATAAACTAATGCTGCATCCATGATAATCCCTATCAAGAGTTTTTGCACGCCACGATAAGCCTTGCATCATCAAGGATAATTATCAGCTCAGCGCTAAATATTTATTTAAATATACAAACAGTAGTTTTATGATATAAATGAATTTCAGATATAAATGTACAAATATCCTTATTAAACAAATTGTTTTCATGGTAAACAACGTCATCGTTAAATGACATGCCATAAAAGCGCTTTTAAGTCCACCATAAGTGTTTTTAAATTAATTTATTAAGATATTATTATTTATCCATTATTTCTTACATAAGGCTAACAATTTAACATTCTATTTACTCCACACATTTGGAAAACTATCTACACTCAACACTAAATGGCAGAAGCGAGAAGCGTTTGTCAGTCAAACGTTACCACCTTAAAAATCGAGTTTTAAATAAAAATATTTATAATACATCTTGTCGTACGCCCGACATCAGGTAACAAACACCCTTCCAAACCGACACACCTCCGACACCTTTCCCGTGTGCCAGCCTCCGCGGTGCCAGCTCTCTCAACCGTCCACCCCGACACGCCGACGGAAACTTTCGACACCGTGTGCCAGCTCTCTCACCGTGCCAGCTCTCTCACCCATGTACGTTCTCCCCGTGCCAGTTCTCTCAGCCGTTTAATAACACGGTGGTGCTAGCTCTCTCATTTTTACCCTACTCCTCCCATCTAAATTAGCCTTTTCGCAACTCGAGTCTACGCACAGGCCCTGCCTATGTAGACTTTTTCCTTTGTTATAGAAGGTATTTTTTTGCACTTTTATCGCTTTATTTCTACAGAATATAATTTTTGTTTTGTAATGTTAGTAGTAGTGCTAGTTAGTAATGTTTGCTGTATTATATTTAAGAAAAAAATACAATTTAATTATATGTATATAATCTATGGGAAATAAAATATTATTTCATTTCATTATTATTTCATTTCATTTCATTTCAACACATAATATCACAATATTTTACTTGAATTCATTAAAACATCAATAAAACATACTATGAAAACAAAAAATCCTATCAAAACACAAAATCTAACGTAAGTAATTGTCTTATTTAGATTTTATACAAATAACATTACAATTAGCTGAGTACCCGTCCTTCATACGGGGTTGGCATATAAATTTAAAATGCTTATTGCAGTTATGCTCAAGCTTTGCGTTTGCAATGGGGAAGGGCACATTTTGATAAAATTTACTTCTTTAAATTGACGGTATACTAATGGTACACATCTACCATAGCCATAATGTTCTACCACTTCACCTAAACAATAAATAAAAATAAATTATTACGAATCCACAAAAAATCACAAATTATTCATGACATTAAAAACATAAACATAACTGTAAACAATCCTACTTTGACAGTTCTCATTGCGTATCACAGTTTTTTGTTGCTGCTTAGTTCAAATTACCGGTAGCTGTTTAAATAAATGCAAAAACAAACTATAGTGCTGCACCCTGTTGGTAAATCTTATAACTGTTTAATGCTTTTGTATCATAGAACCAACTTTTTTAGTTGAAACAGCTGGCTAAATTCTTTAATTCCCTTTAAATGTGAATACTCATAAGGTCAACATGGGAAACTACAGAGCCACTGGGGTGGAGCCCGAAATGATTTTTGAGATAAGAATATGCATATACGTTAATCGGTAATGTGAACTATCATCGTGCCAATTCATCCAGTGGTTTATGCGTGATTGAACTTCAAACAAACAAACACACAAGCTTTCACATTTAATATTAGTAAGATAAGATATTTTACTTGAATTCACTTAAACATCGTCAGCTGTAAAACCCCCTATTTCGTATGGATGTAAACAAAATTGTTTCATGGCCATCTGTTTTGATGTAATCAAAATGTAAACATGAAAAAGTTCAGATGATTGACAACAGAATTCAGCACAAACTCTGAAATTAGCCTATATGACGAAGTGCTTACACGGGATATCATCCAAACCAGCAAAAGGCACATGTAGAGGATGAGAGCTTTAAATTGATACCCACAATATGCATATACAAATAAATATTTACGGGAAGATTTGCTGCACACAAAAATCCGACAAATTCTTTTAATAATATAGATACCCAAGTTACTTCAGACGAAATTGAAAGTTGAAAGTTCAAGGAGTGAAGGCCTGAGAGTGTACAAGACGTACATAGTTAATGCCTGCTTCTCCCCTCCTTTTCGCGGGTGTTTTTAGTTGCTTTGTCACTACTGTGTAGGCTGAAAAGCTCTCCCAAAGAGCCGATTAGAGAGAAAAGTGAGGGGAGCGTGTGTATTAATTTTTGCTTTTGCTTAGTGTGAATAATTTGTTACGAAGATTGTGTGCTGGTGTATTAGTTGGACTGTGTCTAGTATCTCGTCAGACATCTATATAACAGGCATATAACAGACATATATATAATACGCTAAGCCGATTTTTGTAAACAGAACTCCTCCCTCATTTTTGGACCGATTTAGATGATTAAGGTGTCAAAAGAATGGCCCTGATCTGTAGTTTTGCAAAGTGTTTATATTTTTTTGAAATCTTTATTAGTTCGGGCTGGATCTTCCATCAAAGTTGGGTTTCCTCCCATAAGATTAACATGGGGGAATCTAAATATTAAATTGGAAACTTTGTCTCCACTAATTTAAGAGAACGACTGGGCGTAGGAACTTGGTAGAGGTGTCCAAAGAAAGGTCTTGGTCTGTAGATGAGCTATCAAAAGAAAAACGAAGTAAATATATATAATACGCTAAGCCGATTGAACCATGCCCTCGTGCCCGCACCCAGACTAACGAAATGGAAGCGTGATCCATGCGCAGGCCCGAGGAGCGGCTCACAAAACTTTACTTAACAAAATGAGAACCATGGATGGAGGTTCAAGAACAACACGCCATTTGAGAGAAACGAGCTGTAATTAACCATTTAAAAGAAAACACAACAACAATAATCAACAACAATACATGAATTAAATACTCTCAATAGACCTTAAATAAATTTAGGTACCCGTTTAAGCTGCTGACTTACAATAATTTATTTTAATCATTCAGAAAATCAGAAGGATTTAGTAAAAATTTAACATTTAATAAAAGGAAATTACCAAAATTAACAAACTATAACAATAATAAAATATGATGACTCTTTTAATAAATATCTGAAAAGTTAACAATTAACTAGGGGCCCCAAAAATTAAATACAGTGGAGAGATTTTAAAATCGGATGATTAGGCAACAGTAGAATAAAATTTGAAATAAATAACAATAGGCTGCTGTGCTTATAAATAGTCAACAAATGTTAAAAATCTTAAAGTCCATTCGGCAACAGCAATATATATAACAATTAGATAAATAACAATTAGTCGGTAACTTGCGGTAACAGTCTTCAAGGGTGTGACACCGGAGGGCCATGAAGCTGGGCGGACAGCACCGGAGGAGAGAAGAGGCAGGGCGGAGAGGGGGCCAATATGCAGCGCCAGCCTAGCCGCAACATTCCTCTCCGCTGAAGATGGTCAGTCATTTTCCTCCTCACGGGCCCTGAGTGGCAAAACCCAGAAAACAAGGTAGTAAGAATAATAGACTGAGTCCATATCCGCAAGGTTCACTGTCACAGCTTTCACCATTCACATTTAGTTCCAAAATTTCACTGAGTTCCAAAATTTCACTGATTAGGCCTAACAATTGCTTATTTCAAAAGTTTCTAAATTTTTACAAGGTTTGTCTCTCTATCACAGCTCTTTAACAAAATAAAACATTTCAAACAATAACAATATTTTAAATAAAACAACTAACAGGTTAAACAGTACAAGAATGGTAACATTAATTTGCGGTAAAAATGCCAGCAGACTATACGGGTATGTGACAGTGATAAATTTCACCAATAGAGAGAAAATATTTAAATTACCTGGTCCAAAGTGGCCAGAAGAACAAGTTAACAGAGAACAATTGACACTTAAACACAGAAAAATACTTTAAAATTGACAAAAAACGTTCCATACAAAAAATTTAGGCCTAACGCAACAACTCATGTATTCTTGCTAATTTCTCCAAAAGTTGTGCTCCGAATTTGTTCGGAATGGTCTCAAAAGCTGGGGAAAATGTTCCCGCAGCCTTTCCAGACCATCCCAAACCTTAACTCAAAGGCTGAAACCAGAGGCCTTCCAGGATACCCAGTTCAAACCTGAATGAAAAGTTGCCAAACTAAAAATTACTGTAACTTTCTTAAAACTTGAGTAAAATGACTCAAACTTTCAGGGGAGCTTTAAGAGCAGTTAATTCAACTTAATTTAACTAGTTTGGCAAGGACAAAGCAAAATAAAAGACTTTAACCTTACTTGACTGGGTAACACAAACTGAACATTTTACAAGACAAAACAACACTAAAAATTGTACGGGACACAGAAACAAAAGACTACCAGAGTAGTAGCCTAAGACAATTACAATTACTGAGCAAAAATTGTAAGCCTAGGCCTACCACAAAGCAGTCAGAAGGACCCAAAACTGACTTGGCAGTTTCTCTCAAATAGCGGCTTTCCAACAAACATTTCTCAGTCAATTCTAGGCCTAGCATTTCGGGCAAAGCCCTGAATTATACAAAACAACAGAGAAAAGGGAAACTAACTATCAAAAGTCTTCCACGACCCCAAGACTAGGTTCTAAACCTAGTGCAACATGAGGCAATAACCTAACTTTAGCAAAATGTGAAAAACTTACCCAAAAGGCGCGCGGGGCGTACTAAAGTTACTCCATAAAGAAAGTTCTCACAAACGGCCAAGAATAAAACTTAAAGGCACATTTATTATCCAAAAAAGGAAGATTTAAAAGGATAAAAATCTTCAGTGAAGTACTCAAATCCGACGTCTCGCAACCTCTGACACTTCGCGGTCGGAGTAATAAGAACAAAACCCACAGCCTTGTTCGGGGGGCCGTGGAGTGACAACGAAACACTGAACTAGCCTACTATAAAAAAACACTTGAACCATTGATCATGAGTCGTGACATTCGCCCGGTGGAAATAGTCACGGCTCAACCTCCCTCCCCAAAAGAGGACACTCCTCTCCAAAAGGGACAAACAAACAAGCCTCTCCCCCACTTCCTGAAAAGAAATTGACCTGAAAGACAACTCAGGTGTCTGTGGTGGGGAACGCCAAGGGACTTCCAAACTGAGGGGAAAACTCACCCCCAGGGTTTGCTCTGGCCAGAGCTGGAAAATTTTGTGAGGGAAATTCCTTCGCAGAACACAGGGGACAGGAGAAGTGATCAGGTTCTCTGGCCCAGTGCACTTCCCACCCAGACACAAGAGGAAAGAAAATTGCCTACGGAAGAGTTCCGCGGAAGGGCTTGAGATGAGAAATGTGCGCCCTCCGGAACACTTTTCCAGTCCGCGGATCTCCAAGCTCCGCCGTGACAGGCGTCAAAAACCTCAGGATGCGGTGGGGACCTGACCACCGATGACACAACTTTGCAGCTCTCTTGTCCACAGCCGAACTGGCTGGATGAGCTTTACAAAACACCAAATCCCCCACCTGGAAAGGGTTGTCTACTCTACCACGATTGTGCTTCCTCCGGACCAATTCCCTAGCTCTGATCAAGTTTCTCCTGGCCGCTTGCCAAGTTGCCTTGACATCAGCCGCACCAGGAGGTGGCAGAAGGTCGCCAATTCCCCACACATTCGCTAACGGGTTGTTAGGCGGATAGCCTAGAAACAGCTCGAAAGGGACCGCCTTGTGACTCTCATGGTGAGCAGTATTGAAAGCAAACTGAAGCCAAGGGAGTTCCTGATCCCAGGTGGTCTGCTTGTCAGCATGGAAAGCTATGAGAGCGGAACGAAGATTGCGATTGAACCTTTCAGCATGAGAAGGCTGTGGATAGTAAGGGGAAGTAGTCACATGGCGGATTCCGTGCCCAAAGCACATTCTTTTGAACAGATGGGAAACAAACTGTGTTCCGTTGTCGGAAACAATGGTGGCGGGTATTCCAAAATGTTGGAAGAGGTGAGTTCGAAGTACCTGCACGGTGAGCTGTGCAGTGGCATTCCTTAAGGGGAAAAGCCAACAAAACTTGGAGAAGGCATCCACACAAACAAGTAGGAACTTATTTCCTGACTTGCTACGCGGGAGAGGCCCTACATAGTCAATGAAAACCTTCTCCAAAGGTCTTTCCGCCACCTCAGATGACAACAAACCAAACTTAGAGTTTTGAGCGGGCTTGCTCAGTGAGCACGTTTGACAAGAACGCACCCTAGCAGCAAGATCCCGATCCATACCCTTCCAGATGAACATTTCCCTAACCTTCGCAATGGTCTTGTGGATACCTAGATGCCCACCCACAGGAGACGAATGAAAATACTCAAAGACCATAGGGATTAGAAGACTAGGCAGCACAACTTTAGGTTTACCTCGCTGCCGAGCGCGACAGCAAAGGGCACCCTGGGACAGAAAATATGGGGGGTGGGCTCCCCCATTTTGAAGCTCACCAATGATCTTTGCCAGCTCAGGATCCTTCAGCTGATGGGGAATGAAATCAGAAAAGGCGAGTGGAAACTCCAAGAGCACGGCACAACCCGGTTGCTCTTGGTCAGAAGGATGATCGTCGGGTGAATGGTACATCCTAGATAGTGTGTCAGCAATCACATTCTGAGTGCCTCGAACGTGTTGCACTTGGAACTTAAGGGACGATATTTGGACAACCCAACGACCAATTTTCCCAAGCTGGCGTGGATGTGCAAGAAGCCACGAGAGTGCCTGGTTGTCGGTTTCCAATAAAAACTCCTTGTGCTCCAAAAAGCGTCTGAATTTATTGACTCCAAACACGACAGCCAAACACTCGAGTTCATACACCGAAGAGCTTTTCTTTTCGCAGGGACTCAAAGTGCGTGAGGCGTACGCAATTGGCTGCCTAACACCATCCACCTCTTGTGACAACACAGCCGCAATAGCGACGGAGGAAGCATCTGTTTGCAAGACAAAGTTTTGATTGAAATCCGGCATCGCCAAAACAGGGGGCTGCATGATAGCCTCCTTGAGAAGATCAAAAGACGTCTGCTGCGCTTCACCCCAGACAAACTTGGCGCCCTTCTTCCGAAGCTCATTGAGAGGAGCCGCCAATTCAGCAACATTGGGTATGAAGCGTCGGTAAAAACCTACCATGCCGATGAACCTAGCAATACCCTTGACATCTCTGGGAGGAGGAAACTCCCTGATAGCCTGGGTTCTAGCGGGGTCGATGCAGACGCCTCTATGAGAGATAAGATGACCAAGGAACGAAATTTCCGGCTTTGCAAAACTAACCTTGTCAGGATTCACGGTAAGGCCAGCCCTATTCAATCTACTCATGACTTCTTCAAGATGAATCAGGTGATCTTCGAAGCTCTCACTGTACACCAAGAGATCGTCGAGGTAATTGAACACAAACTTGAACTTGACATCATGAAAGATGGAATCAAGGAGTCTGGTGAGAGTCTGGGCCCCCACAGCAAGACCCATCGGAACTCTTGTGAACTGATACAAATTCCACGGAACGCAGAAAGCAGTGAGAGGTCGAGACTCAGGTTTCAAAGGAATCTGATGATAGGCCTGATTCAGATCAAAAACAGAAAAATACTTGGCCTTACCGAACCAATCAAACGCAGAATGCAAATCGGGGAGAGGCACAGAGTCGATTTCAATTTGCGCATTCAATTTGCGATAGTCCAAAACCATTCGGGACTTGCCATTGGGTTTTGGGACGAGAAAGGCTGGACTAGCGTAGCTCGAACGGGAAGGTTCAATGACACCATTTTCCAGAAGTTCGTCAATGATTTTTCTGAGAGTTTCCATTTTGGGTGGAGCTAATTTGTATGGGTGAGAGCGAACGGGACGGGTATCTGTTAGACGAATCTCGTACTCTAACAGGTTAGTGACTCCGAGCTTTGGCGTCAGCACATCTGGGAAACGAGAACACAAGGTTCTGATGGCTTCAGCCTCGCAAGTAGTCAGATGCCCTAACGGATCAATTGTTGGCTTGCTGGGTATCTCAGGCTCAACTACCGCAGCACCACCACCAATTTCATCAGCAAAAGATATTAATACCCGTCTCGCAAATCGGAAAAAACACTGACCTCTGCCTAAATCCAAAATTAGGCCAGTGTGCTTGATAAAATCCGCTCCCAAAATGACAGGGAAACAAAGGTCCTTAGCCACCCAAAAACTCCAAACCCAAGAAAAATGTTCAATTTTGAACTTGAAACGGGCTTCATAGATGATGGGAAGGGGTGAATTTGACGCAGTCCAGCAGATAGGGGTTTTTCGCTCAACTTGCTTGATAAGCCCAGACGATTCAAGTTTTTCAAAAAGGGACAAGGAAATGAGGCAACGGGCTGACCCAGAATCCACTAGGGCCTTCTGCACCGTGGAACCTATGAAGATGTTGAGACGTGGGCAAGTTGAGCGCGCCGCTTTCACGCCCATGGTAGCAAGGCCCGCAATCCCCCGCAGCAGAGGCTCGGTCACAGGCACAACACTCCCAGAAGGGGAGGCAACAGAAACATTAACTGACTTTAACTTAGACTTTGACTTACTTGAAAAAACATTCAAATTATTGCCCTTTACATTATCACCAACAACCTCACAGGAAGGATTGGGCAATTTTTCCTCCTGTGAGCAAACTAGTTTTTTGGACCACGTCCAAAATTTCCACCTTGACGGCAATGCCGCCGAATGTGACCTGGTTGCCCACAACCAAAACAAACGACAGGTTGCCTCTGCCACTGCGGCGGTTCAGGACCCAACCCCACGGGTGCTACGACAGCATGATGACCAGCTAGGGGAAGATGCCCCGCCGCTTGGTCTCTCTGAAAATCAGCGTCCTGGACAGATCTCGAAAGGATGGAAAGTCTGTCCAGATCCGCAAAAGAAGAAGGCCGTGGTGCAAAAACCAGACGGGAGCGTTCCTCAGGCTTCAACCCCTGAAGCACAATGTCAATGAGCTCAAGCTCACTGATCCCCAAACGCAAGACCCTTTCCACCGTGCGAATGTCCCCCACGTACTGGCTGAGAGACTCGGCTGGCTGCTGAGGACGAAAAACTCTCTCAACTTTCAGCTTCTCCATGACCCGACGGGGCATGAAAAGCTCCAAAACTTCTTTATGGAAAACATCAAAGGTGACGCCTCTGCGCAAACAATCAAGCAATCTGTCCCCCAACGGTTTCAGACAGTATGGAGCAATGAGTTCCATCAAAGTTGCGTCTGACATGCCAGGGTATTCACGCATGCGCAAAACACTCTCCAGAAAAAAACAAAGACCATTCACATCTAACCCGTCCACCGGCCGGAAACCACTCAGGACAGAGGCAAGGGGATGGGGAAGTTTGCCAAAGGAGTTAGAGATGGAAGGGGAACTATGAACTTGAGAAGGAAAGGGAGATGGGGACTGGACATTCAGCGTAGCCGCAGCCAAGGTGGACGTGTGAGAGGGGGACGGTGTGACATTTGCATTTGACATTTGAACATTTGCAGGCAACCGGAGCAGTGTACTTGGCGTAGGCGGAGCCTGGGGGGTACCCACTGGAGCCACAACTTCAACAACAGACTTTGGCACTTCGTTTGAAATTTCCAAAGAACGGTTGTCTTCAAAAATTTCGACTTTCTCTTTGACAGACTTTCCTGCCTTAATACTCTCCAAAATTCCTTCCAGCTCAAGAATTCTGGCTTCCACCCAGCTCTTGTCCTCATCTTGGATTTCAGGTTGCTCTGAAACCAAGAGCAGACGCTTACGCCAGTGCGTCAGCTGTGTGATAGCCGAACCCTTAGCTGAGCCCATAGGCAAACTACTCCAACTATCAATTTCCCCACTTAGCTCTTCCATCCTCTCTTTACATGCCTCCAGTTCCTCATCCAAACTGAGCGACTCAACCCAAGCTTGAGGCATGCTAACAATTTGTCTGAACTGTGTACGCAAAGTGCGTACATCAGTTCCAGGAGTCTCCCCCCGGGACCGCACCTCGTACACCAGCTCCGGCTTCCTCAAATATTCCGGCACAATTGACGCCATACCGAGTCTCAACCAGTACTTGACTCAAAACAGACAACAAAAATTGTTTCACAAAACAAACACAGAAATTTAATTCCTAAGGCTTCTGGACGTTGATGCCTACGCACCTGATGGGGCCCAAAAGAAGAACCTGCCCATTCATACCGCAAGTACCGCAAGAAAAAACAACAACAAATGACCCACGAACGTACACACACACAAACATACACCGATACATACACTAGACAACACCTAACACTTGTGTGATGGGGTGTACACACAAACCTTTTTTTTTTTTTTTTTTTTTTTTTGACACATGACCATGCTTTTGACACTCTTGCTCCCGAAGGATGCAAGTCATTACCACCGATTCCACCCGGTGCCTCGGCCAAAGGGCGAGCTCCTAATAAAATGTGTTTACGCCCCACCACAACAACAACAAGACTTTTTTCCAAAACTGCCAGGCCAGAACATTCCCAAGAAACCAATCCATCCACGGCTCTTCAAAACAAAACAAAAAACAGAACGCGGACAGTGATCGCATCTCTAAGTATCCGAGTCGTGAAACCAAGTTTCACGACAAGGCACCCAGGACGCAACCCACTAACCACGCTCTGCTACCAGATGAACCATGCCCTCGTGCCCGCACCCAGACTAACGAAATGGAAGCGTGATCCATGCGCAGGCCCGAGGAGCGGCTCACAAAACTTTACTTAACAAAATGAGAACCATGGATGGAGGTTCAAGAACAACACGCCATTTGAGAGAAACGAGCTGTAATTAACCATTTAAAAGAAAACACAACAACAATAATCAACAACAATACATGAATTAAATACTCTCAATAGACCTTAAATAAATTTAGGTACCCGTTTAAGCTGCTGACTTACAATAATTTATTTTAATCATTCAGAAAATC